AGGAAAGGAAGACCCCCGTGACCCCTGTGTTTCAGACAGTAATCGAACATGAAAGCCATAGACTTCAAAGGTACACACAAGTAAGAAAATGAGGTTTTCTAAAGATCCCTGGGCCCGTGAGGGTAATTTCAGATGGACTCGGGGGTTTAAATTTAAGAGATTTCCACACTGGGACTAGACCTGGAGTATCTTCTAAACAGCGCACAAAAGAGCACCCAGCTCAGTAGATAGCATGCAAAGATTATGGAGCTTCTGAAGCCCTGAGTTGGAATAATGTGCTAGATAAACTGGGGGATGAATGCGTGGTTCTTCTTTATTGAACAAGTGTCCCAAGGAGAATCTCTCTTTCTTTGCTTCCAGAAATGGTTGTTGTTTTTCCTGAGTAATTAATTTGTTTGAGTCACATGAAATTTTGTCATGTTACCTCTTTGGCTTCTAGAAAGCCTGACATTAACTGTAGCTCCCCTCTAGTGAGGGGCTAAGATTTGCGAGCACATCCTGAGAACAACCAGGTCACATCTGGATTGTTCTTATTTTTGTAGCCTTCGATTTTGTTTGCCCAGATGTACTCAGCTATTTTTATATTCTATTCGGTCCCCTTGAATTGTAGGTATTTCCGTAAACTGCCTTGACTCATTTTTGGAATAAAGTGGGATAAAAATAAGTAAATAAAGAAACATTGATTGCAAGTTAAAGAACTCAGATGATCTAACCATACTAAGCTAATGCAGTAAAATCTAAGCTAAGGCAGTAAGAGCAAAGCTGAGAATACAGATTTTCAAAAGCATAAACAACAAAGCACTAAGATAAGCAAAATATAAGTCTATAACCACTCCTCTATGCTAAGTACAATCACTTGCTATGAGACCAAGGTGACGTTCCCTCTTTTATCTTTCCCCAGAAAGATGTCAAATTCTTGAAGCTTTTGGTTCCACATGGAAAGGAAACCCAGTGGTGGAGACTCCTGTGATTCCCAAACAGGTCTTGAAATTAAGTATCTTCTGTGAGCTTTTGATAAGCAAGGAATCTGTCAATGGTAAAATATTTTAACAAGCATCTTCATGCAGCATCTGTTATTTTGTGGATTACATTTGAAAACAGCCATAGATGCCAGAAGCGAGGGAGGGTAAAGCAGACATTGGAATAGCTTGTAGACATACACAACCAATACGTACACAAATTATTTCTTTTTAAAAAACCTGTGATTCCTTTCAAGGTTCTTATAGCAATGGTTTGTTGCTGCTGCTGCTGCTGCTAAGTCGCTTCAGTCGTGTCTGACTCTGTGTGACCCCATGGACTACAGCCCACCAGGCTCCTCCGTCCCTGGGCTTCTCCAGGCAAGAATACGGGGGTGGGTTGCCATTTCCTTCTCCAATGCATGAAAGTGAAAAGCAAAAGTGAAGTCGCTCAGTCGTGTCTGACTCTTTGTGACTCTATAGCCTACCAGGCTCCTCTGTCCATGGGATGTTTCAGGCAAGAGTACCGGAGTGGGTTGCCACTTCCTCCTCCAAATGGTTTGTTGAGTCCTGACATTTCTACACCATGCAGCATAAAAGAGACAGTTTCAACTTCTAAATATTTAAGGACCTCAGTGCCAAAAATGAATGTCTTAAAAAAAAAAAACTAACATATTGGTTCCACCAGAGTTGGTGTTCCTTGGTGGCTCAAATGGTAAAGAATTGCCTGCAGTGCAGGAGACCCGAGTTCAATCCCTGGTCAGGAAGACCCCCCGGAGAAGGGAATGGCATTCCACTCCAGTTTTCTTGTCTGGAGAATTCCATGGACAGAAGAGCCTGGTGGGCTACAGTCCATGGGGTCGCAAAAGAGTCAGACATGACTGAGCAATTAACACTTTCAGCTGTCTTCAGAGTTGGTCTAGACTAGGGGAAGTAGTGGTGCTAAGATTATTTTCATTGGTCCATCTGTATCTATGATATTTTATTCAGTATTTTTAGAGAATTGTTAATTATACAAACTGAAACTTAACTAAATAAGAAAGAATGGAGCAGTGATTTGCAGCACGAGGTCCAAATCATATTAGGAAAATGTGAACAAAACTCTACCAAAGAAGAGACCTGGGGAGAACAGTTGTTTGGAAGCCTGTCAAGTGGAGAAAGAGTAATTCCTTCTGAGAGACTTAGGATCATGGGTGGAACTAGGGTCTAATATTCATCCCAATATTAGAAAGAATCTTTAAAGAATTATAAGTGTTCAGAAATGGAATGACATGCCCTGACAGTTTCAGCAATGACTCTGGGAACTTTCAGGCTGACCCTGGGTATCCTCATGAGTTACCACACTGGCTGGGGGCAGGGGAGGGTCACTGCATTGAGTATATGATGGAATGAGACAGATTCAAAACTTTCTTTGAGTAAAAAATCCTCTATTTATAGCAACATAACTGTTATTCCTAAATGGTGGCAGGGCATAGTCTAACGATCAGTTTACTTAATGTTGATCATGCAAAAATAAGTGAAGAACAATCAAAGTAAGTGTCTGAAGCTTAGAGTAACTGATGTAAGTCACAGTCCTGCCAGCACCACCTCCCCCCAACCCCCGCCCCGGCCGGGGCTGTGGCAGGACCCCCAGCGAGGAGCAGTTGGCTATGCAGTGAGCCTGAGGAGGGCGCTGGGACCTCATGGACCTAACAAGAACAGGTTGATTACCTGCTTCATTTCTTCCTTTTATACTGGAGCATAGTTGATTAACAATGTTGTGTTACTTTCAGGTGTATAGCATGAATTAACTGTTTTTAAACTTGTTTGTTCATAGTTGTTTGCCTGTGTGGTAAAATTTTGCACAGAACTCCTATGAGTTTTTAGTTGTTTTAATCATCACCATTTTCTTCAATAGTGAAGAAAATTTGGAGTGAATTGCAACGGAAAAGGTAACTTACAGCTCTCTGTGGTCTGGAAATGTGATGAGACGAGTGAACAAGTGTGCAAGATACCGTGGAATCGAAATCTGTATCACTCCCCGGGGAGAAGGGCTACTCCAGAAATAGAGCACATGGTTTGCTTTATTTCCAGCCAGGCCGCTCATCTGAATTCATATTCACTGCTTTATTATGCTGAAAATGACACACGACTTCTTTAGATCTCTGGCCCAATCATCACTTTGATGTCTGATTTATTGATGCACAAAGGACTTGCCTTTCAAGTTTGTTATCTCTCATTTCAGTGGAATTTTTCAAAGTATTAAGAAACTAGCTCCACAGGGCCGTCTACCCAGCTGGAAGTTGGCACAAGATTCTGCAGTGTTATTGGTGCCCCTGGCTATTTCCTGCTATTTAGTTTCAAGCTAATAAGGAAATGCAGAGGTTGGCTAGTTTGCTGTGAATACTGCGGACAGACATTCGTGCTGGAGCACACTCAAAGGGGGTTCTTTAGAGAATGCACTTTATCACACCAGGGACTCTGTTTTCTTGGCTACTGAAATGAATTTTGTTTGGAAATCAGAGCTATTTCTCATCTTTGACCAGCTCTTTTGTGAAGCCTGCACTTCCATGTTTATGCCATCCATTTCTGACATCATCCACTTGTTTCCATGGCAAAATTACTCAAAGAAGAGAAAATATAAAATAGAATATTTTTTGGAGAAATGTCTATTCAAATCCTTTGACCATTTTTTTTTTTGATGTGGACCACTTTTAAAATCTTTATTGAATATTGCTTCTGTTTTATGTTTTGGGTGTTTTTTTGGCCCCCAGGAATGTGGGATCTTTCTCCTCAGTCAGGAATTGAACCTGCACCCGTGCACTGGAAGTGCAGAGTCTTAATTGCTGGACCACCAGGGGAGTCCCCATTTGACCATTTTTATAAAGAGTTTCTTGCTTTTTTTTCTGCTGCTGTTGAGTTGTAGGAGTTCCTTTTGGAGATTAACCCCTTATCAGATAAAAAGTTTGCCATATTTTCTTTCATTTAATGGGTTGCTTTTTCCCTCTATTGATTTTTCTCCTTTGTTGTGCAGATGCTTTTTGGTTTGATGTAGCCCATTTTTTAATTTTTGCTTTTGTTGCCTGTGCTTTTGGAATTATATCCGTGAAATCACTGCCAAAGCCAATGTCGTGATATATTTCCCCTATATTTGCTTCTTAAGAGTTTTACCATTTTAGGCCTTATGTTCAAGCCTTGAATCCATTTTGACTTGGTGTTTGTTCTTTTTGTCTCTGGTGTAAGGGTCCAATTTCAGTCTAGTGTATGTGAGCATTCAGTCTTTCCAATGTCATTTGTTGAAGAGACTCTTCTTGCACCTTCCTGGCTCCCTTGCATTAACAAAGATCAGCTGACTGCAGACGTGCGGGTTTATCCCTGGTCTCTGTTCTGTGTGTCTGGCTTTGTGTTAGTGCCACACTCAACTGTGGCTTTGCAATATGCTCTGAAATCAGGAAATGTGCTTCCTTTAGTTTTGCTCTTTCTCAAGATAGTTTTGGCTACTCAGGGTCCTTTATGGTTTCCACATATATTTAAGGAGTGGTTTTTCTATTTTCCAAAAGAAATACCAGGGACCTAGTATGCGTTACAGGGATGGGACGTACCATTTACAACAGAACATCACAGGGTTTGTGTGGATGGCCATGAACATCACCGCTGTTTTCAGTAGGAGGTTTAAAGAGTTGATGAACTAGAGAAACGTGCTTCTACCGTCACAAAGATTTTCCTTCAGCCAGGAGCTACAAGGCCTACACTCAGGTGTGTGTGTGCAAGGCCCCATCAGAGAGGTTCTGGGCTGCCCGCCCTTTGAACAGGGCTCCTCCGTGTCGGGAAGCGCGGGGTCACCCTGATGGGCAGCTTGGCATGGGAACCCTGTGACGGACCACTCAGGGTGGACGATCTCGGCAGTGCTAGACGCTGGGCCTCTGGGATGAACGGTGGCGCTTGTAATGTCTGAACGAACCCCCTCTGCTCTGTGCTAGGGACACTGGGACCCTAGAAGTTCCTTCTTGAGTCCTGGGTCAACTTGGATTTTACAGAGTCTGAAGCCCAGGTGACACTCAAATTATGTTGCTGACCAAGAAGCAGCTCTCTGAGCTGCCTGTGACCAGCCTGCTGCTCAGGACAAGACATCCAGTCCCAGAGGCCAGTGACACCAAGGAGAGCCAGCCAGTGTTCATGCCCTGCCTGCCCCAATCTCAGAGTTACAAATATGACCAGCTTCTAACTTCAGGGCAGACTGGCCAGCGCCTGAGTGCAGATTATGGAGTATTGTCAGCTTTTATGGAACATTCTAGAGTCAGCCATTCCTTCCTCAGAGACGGCACCTTGGCCTAAAGTTAAAATTTCCAATTCTTGAAACAGAATGACTGTTAAAGGATAGGCCATTGTGTTTCTTCAAAGTGATGGAGAATCTCTTAAAATAAGACAATCTTCGTAGGCTACCCGGGCAGCTTAGTTTTAGGACGTGAAGTATGTGGGTGAGACAGTGAGCGACAGGCACAAATCCAACTGACGATAATTTGTGAATAAATTATACGGGTCATTCTCTGTTCTGATTTGTAGTAAATCAGAAAGTGACAAGACAACATGAATGTCATCTCGTCCCTAAGACACATACATATCACACACTATATACACATTAAAGCTTGTGTATTGGGGTATATGTGCATATGGGTGTGTATATGTGTATACACATGGAGTGTACTTTTAAACAGTGTGAACAGCTGAGTCCAGATGAGTGACTATAAATCCAACATTTTTACAGTAAATCACAGAGGTATTCTGTAGTGAACATGTTTGGTTTTTTTTTTTTACACAATTTTATTATATCCTTTAAAGATAGCATTAGTGTTAATTAAATAGATCCACAGGTAAAATGTATATTGTGGGAGTATCTCTGACATCTCTGTTTATTAAACTGGGCAGACATTAAGTTAGTACTTTCATTGGAATAACCCCCCTCAACCGCAATGTAAAATATCATCTAAAGACACAGACAGCACTGTGGTCCCCCATGCCCCCTTATAACTTATCACCACAGCGTCTCATAAAGGCAGCTCTTAAGTACAGGTGGGACTCTTGACCTCAATAATGGTTTGCACACCAGCTTCTAGTTATGTCCGGGCTTTCTCTCGGTGACTCATGTTTCCCTCCATGGGTCTCTCCTGGCCACCATCTTCGGTGTTCAGAGAGCACATTTCCTAATAAGCCACAGCGACTCGTGCACCCTCACAGACTCTGTCGACGGTGCCCTGAGACTCTCTGCAGTGGCAGAGCCGGGTCAGCCCGGCCTGAACCCTGAGCAGGGTGAATGGTCTCTGGGGACCTGGCTAGGATGCCCCCACTGCCTCCTCTGGACAGCCAGGGCTGTGGCGCCCCCATGTGGTCTCTGAGTCTTAGTCTTTGAAGCGGCAGAGGTGACAGAGTAAAGCTCCAGGCGCCACGTGAGCCAGGACAAGGTCCTCCAGAGAGGAGGCCAGACCAGAGGGGCACCACGTCACCCGGGTCATCCTCCCTGAATCGCGGCTCCTGTCCGTCTGCAGTGGGAAGGGTGCTGACTCGCACCGCGCCACTCCGTGCCTGGGTGGTAAGAGTGATGAGCGTCCGGTAGCCAACCGGGGACCAGCACAGACCGGCACCTCCTTTCCCAACAAGCTAAAACGACCACTGTTTAAGTGACTCTGAAACTTTAATTACAGATACTTTTCAACATCTGAAAGTGTGGCTTTGTCCTCTTTCTGCGGAAAGGCTGGCACAGTTGTTCCCTTATACTCAGGTCTTTTCCTGCTCCCCTGTCTCTTCTTTATGTAAAAAAAAAATTGTCTGGATCACAGTCCCAACCAACTCTGCTCGGCATCCCCGGCTGGGAACTCAGAGAGCAAAGCAGGTTCACAGGAGCAGGAAGCAGCCGCAGAGAAGCAGCAGGAAAAGCTGAAGCCGGAGCTCCACCCCAAAGCGCACAACGATGGAAAGGAAGAAGATGGTGGAGCTCTTGCCCCGCTGCCTCTGTCAACATGCTCGCCTGAAACCCTCTGCGGTCTTAAAGTGCAATTATATGGTGAGGACGCCCAGGCCCAGGACCCAACTGGACGGAGTTCAAAGCCGAATCTTCAAACAGCTCATGACTCAGGCTGGGCGGGTTGGAGGGTGGGGGTGGCAGGCGGGAAGGAGCACCATTCTCAGCCGCTCAAGTGCATCTGAGGAAGAAGTGTCTCTTCTTTTCATAAAGAAAGTCTGTAAATTGTAAGGCATCCTGGTGTGAAAAAAAAAAAATCACACCCTTGGCACTTCTAGCCAAGGCCGAGCCAGGGTGACAGAGTCCAGAGGCCGGTGAGTCCGGCCAGCAGCAGGGGACCTGGGCTGCTCCCGGGGGCCCAGTTGCGGTGCCCGTGCCCGCCAGGGTCCTCGGAGAAGTCCTCAGGCCTGGGTGCCGACGAGGCGCACTGCACCAGGGGCATCTGGTAGGACGTGGCTCTCTTCTCGGGCCGATCCGGGCTGGAGCCATCGCTGGGTCTCTGGCCGTTGAACAGCAGATAGCGGCCGTGGGTGTCCCGCTCCATCTTGAAGATCTCGTACTCCGTGTGAGGCAGCCTGATGCCCAGGGCCACGCAGCCGTTGGTGTGGGTCACATCCTGCTGGACGCCCACCTGCCAGGAGCCCTCGGCCCCGCACTCGTTCCCGCTGAAGACGTTGAGGAGCGAGGCCGTGGCCGCATCCATGGGGGTGACCTTCATGTGGTTCACTGCCAATGAGACAAGATAGCTCTGTGACACGCGGCTGCTGGCGGCACCACGCCTCACCGGCCCCTGCTGTCAGCCCACCCCGCAGACCATGGCCCACAGGAAGGACCCTCGGGTGGAAAGGGTGCCACGCGTGGATGTGATGAGTGGCCACCCCAGGCACCCTGCAGGCGCCACCAGGGGAAGTCCAGCCCATCCGCTGTCCATGCTGAGCCCACAAAGCAGCCGACCCAGCCTGTCCTATGAAGCCAGACTGTCCCCAGGGAGTGGTCTCTGGGGACACTGCTCATTGGGATGGACACCATTGTCAACAAAAACTGGAATTTGTTTTTATGAATAGGTTTTGAGGTTTTTAAATAGTTTTGGTGTCATACACTTATATGAGTGAGCAGTCTTGCAAATTAATACTGGCCTGTGAATTGAGCAACTAAGGTTAATTAGGTGGCAAGCAAGAAAAATATGCTTAAATCCACTAAAGGGAAACCCCAACCAACTGCGAGCTCTCAGAGGCCATATTCTGTGTACACACAAGAGCTATGGGGCGGGGAGGGGGAGGGTTGAACCCTGGGATGCTGTCATGGGGTCATGGGAGGGGTCACACCACTGTCTTATTTGTCCATGACAGGGTGGACACCTGCCTAAAAAGATGCACATGCTCAAAGAAAGCCTAGAAATAGAGCCCATAGGACACCCTGGCTGACAGCAGTCTAGTGGAGTCACCCTTCACCTGCCTGCAGGCCTCTGACCTCCCACCTGCAAGTGCGTGGCATCTTCTCCAGGGCCAGACAGGCAAACATTGGGGCACCAGAGACGCCACTGACCACAGCCCAGGGGCCGCAGCGAACCTTGCCCTGGAGGCGGGAGGTCTCCTCCCCAACATCCCTGCAGAGAAGATGCCCTGTGCCCCGGCTCCGCCTCCACAGACACGCCCCCGGACCGCCCCCATGACATCAGCTCCGGGGCGGGGTGGGCCCTACCTTTAAACACGAACTCCGTGCCGCCCAGGACCCTGGCGGAGTGCACGCCGCGGCTGTAGCGGCCCCTGGCGTAGAGGGTGAAGGTGGGGTGCTTGCACACGGGGTCCGAGTAGTGGTAGTAATGTCCCTCCCAGCTATGGTTGTTGTCGTGGAAGATGAAGTGGCGTGTCAGGAAGAGGACCTCGGGCCGCACCTCGCAGCGCTGGCTCACCCATTCGCCGTGCAGCCCCACCGTCAGGTCCGCCTTGGGGGGCAGCAGGGGAGGCCGGTGCTCGTCCGAGCGGTGGATTATGCGGCAGGCGACGCAGGCGTGGTCGTGGTTCTGCCGCCGAGACACAAGGTGGGAAAAGACAGTGTCCAAGAGGGCAGTGCAAATGCACAGCCTTCGCCTCCCCAGGGCACCATGCCATTAACCAGGGTACCTGAGGGCGCCTGGGGGCGTGTGTGCCCGCCTGTTCTCATCAGCGCGCGCGTGTGGGGGCTGATGGTAGAGCCAGGCCTAAATATTTCAGCTGTGATTTGAAGGCCTTTTGAAAATCCTGTTACATCTTATTCCATACCACCTGTCTTGGACACTTGATGTCAAAAAGAAAGGCTGGCACCACCTGGCCCAATTAGGATGGCTACTATCAAGACCGGGCTTCCCCAGTGACTCAGCGGTAAAGAACCCACTTGCAATGCAGGAGACATGAGAGACCCAGGTTCCATTCCTGGGTGGGGAAGATCCCCTGGAGGAAGGCATGGCAACCCAGTCCAGTATTCTTGCTTGCAGAATCCCATGGACCGAGGAGGCTGCTGGGCTGCAGTCCATAAGGTCAGGGCTGAAGCAACTTAGCATGCAGTATCAAGACCAGCGGAAAATGAGAGTCTTGGTGAGGACGTAGAGAAACCAGAACCCCACTGCACTGCTGGTGGAAATGTAAAATGATGTAGTTGCTTCAGAAAAGAATTCTCTTAGGACCTGGCACCCCACTTCTGGCTTATACCCTAAAGAACTGAAATCAGGGCCTCAAAGAGGAATCTGTTCACCCATGTTCACATCAGCACGATTCACAATAATCTAAAGGCAGAAGCAACATTGTGTATCAGTGGCTGAATAAAGAAAATGTAGTCCAATGAGACAAGTACTCGGGCCTGGTGCACTGGGAAGACCCAGAGGGATCCGGTGGAGAGGGAAGTGGGAGGGGGGACCGGGATGGGGAATACATGTAAATCCATGGCTAATTCATTTCAATGTATGACAAAAACCACTGCAATGTTGTAAAGTAATTAGCCTCCAACTAATAAAAATAAATGGAAAAAAAAAAAAAGAAAATGTAGTCCAGACATGCAAAGGAATAGAATTCAGCCTTGAAAAAGGAAGGGGATTCTGACACATGCAGGTTGTTACATGGATAAACCTGGAGGACATTATACCAAGTGAAATGAGCCAGTCACAGAGGACAAACCCCGTACGATCCCACATAGAGGGACCTCAAGTGGACAAATCCATGGAAACCAAAAACAGAACAGAAGTTACTGGGGGCTGGGGTGGATGGAAAGGAAGGTCATACAACAACCCGAATGTCCTTGACATCACTGAACTGGATGCCTAGACGTAGCTAAGATGGTACACTTTGTTACCTGTATTTTACCACAACTAGATTTTTTCCAATGAAAATAATTATGAGACATTAGAAGGAAAAAGGCTTCCGAGGTGGTGCTAGTGGTAAAGAATCAACCTGCAAATGTAGGAGACAGAAGAGACGCAGGTTCGATCCCTAGGTCGGGAAGATCTCCTGGAGAAGGGAATAGCAACCCACTCCAGTATTCCTGCTTGGAGAATCCCATGGACAGAGGAACCTGGCAGGCTATAATCCATGGGGTTGCAAAGAGTCAGACATGACTGAAGAGACTTAGCACGCACACACGCACAGAAGGAAAAAAAGCACTCCAGTTGCCGTAGGTGACTCAGGGCACTGTGTCATGAGGGCAGGGGTCCCCGAGAAGGAGGGCATGAGGGCTTGGCTTCAAGGAGGCAAGAGCAGAGGCCAGGGAGGATATGGGCACTCCTGTACCCACCTGTATGCGCTGGCCCACGGTCTGGACAGTGTGCTGGCTCTTCCTGACTCCTGCTTCATGGCTTTAAGCCACGTAGTTAGTGTGAGAGCAGCCACTTGTCTGTGGGGAGTGCCTCTTTGCCTGGGCCTGCCTTGGGGCACCAGCGTGGATCCTGCACGAGGGTTGTCTAGGGCTGCGGCTGAGAAAACCCCCTCTGAGTAGGGCCCCTGAGACTGTTAGCCATGTGGATGCTGTCTGCCTGGAGCAAGGCTCGGGGTTCATAGAAAAAGCTGAGGTCTGGGAGTTGGGAAGGCAGCTCTGTGACCAGAGAGACGGCCATTGCCAGCTGCAGGACCCAAGGCACAGGAGGCCTGTGGCCAGGGCTGCTTCCCAGGACGGACCTCCTCTCTGCTCCTCTCCCCGCCACGTGGATTTGTAAACCCACCCAGGCTGCCAAATGCCGGCCACGCTAGAAGCCCACGCCCACATGACTGCTCTGTGGCAGGAGGGCGACCCTGACCCCGCCCCCGCCTGGGGCCCACCAGGCACAGCTCCGAGCCTGAGGGCAGGACTGACAGGTGGTCACTCGGCAGGCAGGCACTTGTTCTCTGGGCAGAAATCCAACCTCCAGGCCTTTCCATCCCTCGCACTGACTCTGAGAGGGGCTGCCTCTGTGAGCAGGCAGGCAAAGGAGGGGACCAGGGCATTCCAGTCGCCCCCGCTCCATGCTCTCCTTCCAGGACAGCATGATGCCCACTGACAGTCCTTGTGCTCATCAGTGGAGCCAGGCATTATTTTTGGGAGAGGAGGTTTGCTTGGGGCTTGAGGAGGAGATCCAATAGGCAGCGCAGAGGCTTCTCTGTCCCGGGCCCCATGTGTTTGTACACCTACGGTTTCCTGCCCAGGTCTCTGAGATACACAAGAAAGTGCCCTACAGCCCGTGGTCAGCAGGGGGCTGTCTGTAAGCCACCACGAGGACACGGACCAGAAGGACACGTGCACACAGCCCACGAGGGCTTCTTTGCACAAAAAATGATGATTCCAGCCATGGCAGGAGATCCAAAGGCCAGCAACTGCAGCTGGGGACTGTAGGAAAGTTACTGATCTCTCCATGTCAACGTCCCCATGCATAAAATGAGCACTGTTATACCTGCATAAATGCTGTAGGAAATGAGCACAGATTAAGGCAGGTCCCACTCTGTACTCTGAGAATTGCTGCATAGAGAAGTTTTGGCGAGTTGGGGCTGTGTATATGCATGGCACTTGGTAGGAAGACCAAACAAATAGCACGTCTCCTGCTATAAGTGCTACGATCTTTCAAATGCATGATAGGATGAAAAAGACAAATTTAATTGAAATAAAGCATCATTGAATTCAGTAATTTTGCCATGATGTTATTTTCTTGTAAATTACTAGGAAGTGAAGGTTTCAAATTTTTTTTACCCCGAAAGGGGGTTCTGATACTCAAAGTTTGGGACAGAAAGCTAATATAATGCCTGTAACATCGTATAAGCTCCCGCATCCAGGAAGTTAGCCGCTTAATGGCTAGTAAGTGTTATTGTGAGCAGCACCTTGATCAAACTATACCTGCTGTCCCTGCTCCCCCACCCCAGTCCACAATATCTGAGTGAAACCAGCCCAGTACTCAGACTCAAGTCTCTGAGATTTCACAAACGTTCTGATGCTGGTGCCTGTTAGCAACCATGCCAAGTGGTGTAGGAGACACGCTGGAAAGAGAGAGAACCCTCTGAGAGCACACACCAGGCTGCTTCCAAAACACACGCAAGGAGTGACGGCTTGGCTACTCCCCCGGGAGCTCGCCAGCTGGCAGCCTGCTGATTGCTCCCCGACTCCTGCCTACCAGCCAGATTCTACGCAACCCACGTGCACTGCAGGTCCCGACAGGCCGACCCAGCCTCCACTTGCTTCCTCCTGCTTCAACCATTCGGTTTGCTATCTGGAAATTTAAAAACATCACTTGTGACCACTTCATTTCTGGCCATTCTAGGAAAACACGAGCCTCAATCCCTGAAAAGATCTGTTTGCTTCCTCAAACACCAATATCATTCAGGAAGTGCCCAGAATTCTTAGACTGGGCAGGTGGGGCGGGAACAAGAGGTCTTAGTTCTTATAAGAGCTGCTCCGATGACACCAGGGATCAACTGCTCTTCAGAAAAGGAACCAGCCCAGAGGAGGGGGCACTGCTGTGTGGCCTGGCTGGTCTATGCCCAGCACAGTGGTGTCTGGTGTTTTTCTTTAAGAAAGACAGGGCAGGGGTCCTACACTTTGAGATGAGGACCTGGCTGAACTCTGGTCCCTTCATGTAAGTGAGGGTCCCACCTGAACCATTTCTGGTTGGCAGCGGAGAAAGGCAGGCTGGGTTGTTTTGGAGAAGCTTGTCATCCATCCGCTGGGAGGGAGTGGGAGGAAGCTGGCCCTTGGGTATTGATCTTGCCAAATCTGTAAACTAGTTACTTGACTTCATGCATCCTAAGTCGCTTCAGTCATGTCTGACTCTGTGCGACCCCATGGATTGTAACCCACCAGGCTCCTCTAAGTCCGTGGGATTCTCCAGGCAAGAATACTGGAGTGGGTTGCCATGCCCTCCTCCAGGGGATCTTCCAAACTCAGGGATTAAACCCATGTCTCTTACGTCTCCTTCACTGGCAGGCAGGTTCTTTACCACTAGTGCCATCTGGGAAGCCCCTGTAGTGGTAAAATATACATAACATAAAACTTGCCATCGACGTGCATTCACATAGTGGTCCAATCATCACCACCAGCAGTCTCCAGAACTTCTTCATCTTCCAAAACTCTGTCCCCACCTCATTCGAGCCCCTGACAACCAGCATCCTACTGTCTGTCTCTAAGAATATAATGACAACTTGAGGTCCCTCATATAAGTGGGATCATACAGTCCTTCTTGTAACTGGCTTATTTAACACAATGTCCTCAAGGTTCGTCCACATGTCAGCCTGTGTCAGAATCTCCGTCTTAAGGCTGAGTGGTACTCCACTGTGTGCTTGCACATTTGGTTTAGCCACTATCTGCCGGTGGACACCTGCACTGCTTCCAATTGTTCGCTACAGTGAACAATTCTGCTGTGAACATGGCTGTCCAATACACCTCAGACCTTGTTTTCAATTCTTTGGGGTCAATACGTGGAATTGCTAATTGTAATTCTGTCTTTGGGCTTCCCCTGTAGCTCAGTAGTAAAGAATCCGCCTGCCAGTGCAGGAGGCATGGGTTCGATCCCTGGGTCGGGAAGATCCTCTGGAGGAG